GAAAACAATCCCACGGACAATGCGACGGATTTAAGGTTATGTCAAGGTACGTCTCTTGTGAATATCAATTGATTGTTAGGTTTTCTCTTTTCTAATTGCCATTTATATTTCACCAAATGCAGCCATGAGGGATATTGAATTATTTATTGCAAAATCTTTATTTCCACTATCCACTGCAGGTTCACAAGCTCTGGCTGACGTTACTGGTGAAGAAATTGATTATTGTGAGCGGCCTGTGATCCTTGCCGGAGATTTTAGTGTGAATTTCTCGTTACCTGAAGCTGAAACATTATTAACCTTCCTTAAGGACAAATTTGGATTGGAAATGATAAATGGTAGGTATGATCCAACAACCAAAGGGGTAACTACCATAGATGCAGTTTTTGCAAGAAATATTGAAAAAATAGAACTCAAACATTTCGTATCTTACTTTAGTTATCATAATACCATTGTAAATGTTATAGATTTGAATATTTCTCTACTCGAAAATGATAATTAAAAGATGCGATCAATTGTGAATTGTAAGCATTGTTCTTAAAGTTTGTCTTAAGGAAACAATATGATTTCACTAAAAATCAATTTCTACCCCTTCCTATTTTCATTTCCACATTACGAAGTTACACTTCTTCCGCGCGGTGGGACTCCACGCACTATTTTTTTTATTTTGTGTAACTGACAACTTCAGTACATAATAAATTTGTTTATGTCTTACATGGCTTCGTGACTGCCTTTGTGTTAAGTAATATATAGTGAAAGAATTGAAACATTTGTGAAAGATTCATAGTGAAAGAATATAGAATGTGTCATTTAAAGAGAACTGATACTTCAGGGGCTTGGTTAACTCGAAATAGAAGGGAAAGAACAGTTACTAGTTGCTAATATTAAAAAATGCCACGTTTCAACAACCAATCAGAATCAAGATACTCAGATTACGTCACTTGTATACTTCCCACTATTAACTGCAGAATTGGCTGTAAAAAATATCCTGCGCGCCACTTTGCAGCCCGCAAGGAATACCAATAAAGGGTTGGAATTCGACGCGCTGAAAGAGCTATTTTTATTTATAAATTTAAGAGCATTTTTGAATTGGTACAATGACATAAGTGTAGAAAATTTATGGTTTGAATTAATAGATGGCGTTGCCTATTTTTTTGTTTTGGCTATTCTAATGTTTACTTTTTGTTTTGTTGTTATTAAAGAATATGAATCCCACCTCTCTGACGCTTTTTTAACATGGTGCTGAAAACCCCAAGAAGAAGATTGAAAATATTTATTACTGAAGAAGGGTTCGTTTGAATTTGATTTTGAGCTTTGCATTGAAATTATTTCTTTTTTCTTTATTCGATTAATTTGTTCTGAATTCGAAAATGTCTACTGAACTTTCAAAATGGAAGCAGAAACGAGGTGCTGTCAAAGCATCAACGACTAGATTGTTCGGCGAAATCGAAAATGAAATTGCGAACATTGAAACTTTAGATGAATTATTGGCTAAACTTATTGAAAAGGAATCTTTATTGAAGGAACTGGATTTGAAAATTGAAGATTTGATTGATGCTGACGAAATTAAAAAGGAATACGAACAATCGGAAGAATATTCTGATAAGATGTTTCAAAAACGAAAATTTCAAGATCTTTATCTTCGTCGAATGATAAGCTGGATATGGAAAACTGTAAGAACGATAACGAAAGTATTTCAACCGAAATTATTTCTGAAGAATTTCAAAATGTTCACGTACAATTACCGAGCATTAATATTGAAAAATTCTACGGTGATGTTAAACTATGGAATAACTTCTGGGAACAATTTAAATCGACTATTCATGAAAATAAGACTTTGAAAACTGTAGATAAGTTTGTGTATTTAAAGTCATATCTTGGCGGAGCTGCTGCAAGAGCTGTGAATGAACTTTCGATTTGTGATTCTAATTATCTTGCAGCCGTTGATATTTTACAAGATCGCTGAGGAAGAAGTGACTTAATTATTAATGCTCAGACGAACGAACTGTTAAATTTAAATGCAGTAAAGGTTTCTAGCTATGTTGATGAGCTGAGGAAACTTTACGATAGCATTGAAATTGAAATACGAAGTTTAAAGTTTTTAAACGTGATGTCTGAAACCTATAGAAATCTACTCTGTTCAATATTGATGAAGCTGATTCCTGAAGATATAATTTTGGATTTTAACCGACAAAGAACGAAGGATTCTACTTGGAATGTTGAAGAATTGTTAAAATTTATTAGAAACGGAATTGATAGCCGTGAACGATCAGCTCTACTCTCAAAAAATTCAAGAAATGAAAATCTTAACGAAAATTTTAAATTCACTCCAAAATCGAAAGTAGAAGAAAAATCTTGGAATAAAAGAAAACCAAAGGTAAGCGCCTTTGCTTTATCAACATTCAATTTGAAATGTAATTTTTGTTCTAAGAGTCACTATAAATTTAAATGTAATGAAGTTAATGTTTATAATAAAAGACAATTTTAATGAAAAGTGGTAAATGCTTCAGTTTCTTTCAAAAAGGACATTTATCTATATCTTCGGATTGCATGAAAAGAAATCTTGCTTGTTTTCACTGCAAACAGAAGCATCATTATTCTGTTTGTATGAAACAGCCTGAAAACGAAAGTCCCGTTTCGAATAATGATAAAGAAATGCTCGTAAATAAAAATAATGGATCTCATGTTGTGCAAAACTCTGTGACACAGAATTCAAATGTAATTTTACAAACTGTTACCACTGTTGCTGTGAACAAGACTGAATGTTTAGTTAGATATTTGCTTAACGGAGGTAGTCAAACGTCTTTTATAAATAAAAAGTTATCGAAAAAGTTAAATTTGCCTGTTACAGGAGAAATTGATTTTAATATTCATACATTTGGATCTAGTAAGAGTGTAAATAATCGTAGAAGGAAAGTGAAATTGAAACTTGTTGATCTAATCAATTCTGATCAGTTTGTTATTGTTGAAGCTATTGAGTATCCCGTGATTACTGCTGCTGAAATTAAAATGTCTGGAGATGACTTAACTAAAACTTCGCATTCTTTGGGAATTGAACTTTCAGATGATGTGCCAACTGATCAGCAAATGTATAAATATTATGTATATATTAGAAAATGATGTTTGCTGGAAAATTGTTACTGGAAAAATCGAACGAATAAATGAAGCATTAGTTGCTGCAGAAACTAGATTAGGATGGTGTATTCAAGGTACCGTTATGAGTTCTGATTTACGATCAATGACTGTTAGTTCAAATTTATGTTTAGATGAAGAGCTATCTAATAATATTAAATCTTTCTGGGGAATAGAATCGTCAGGAATAGCACCGGTCTTGGATGAAAACGACAAGGATATAAAAGCACTTTCTTTATTTGAACAATTTATTCGCATAAGAGATGGCCGTTATGAAGTAAACCTTCCATGGNATTCGATTAATTTGTTCTGAATTCGAAAATGTCTACTGAACTTTCAAAACGGAAGCAGAAACGAGGTGCTGTCAGAGCATCGACGACTAGATTGTTCGGCGAAATCGAAAATGAAATTGCGAACATTGAAACTTTAGATGAATTATTGGCTAAACTTATTGAAAAGGAATCTTTATTGAAGGAACTGGATTTGAAAATTGAAGATTTGATTGATGCTAACGAAATTAAAAAGGAATACGAACAATCGGTAGAATATTCTGATAAGATGTTTCAAAAACGAAAATTTCAAGATCTTTATCTTCGTCGAATGATAAGTTGGATATGGAAAACCGTAAGAACGATAACGAAAGTATTTCAACCGAAATTATTTCTGAAGAACTTCAAAATGTTTACGCACAATTACCGAGCATTAATATTGAATAATTCTACGGTGATGTTAAACTATGGAATAACTTCTGGGAACAATTTAAATCGACTATTCATGAAAATAAGACTTTGAAAACTGTCGATAAGTTTGTGTATTTAAAGTCATATCTTGGCGGAGCTACTGCAAGAGCTGTGAATGGACTTTCGATTTGTGATTCTAATTATCTTGCAGCCGTTGATATTTTACAAGATCGCTGAGGAAGAAGTGACTTAATTATTAATGCTCACATGAACGAACTGTTAAATTTAACTGCAGCAAGGGTTTCTAGCGATGTTGATGAGCTGAGGAAACTTTACGATAGCATTGAAATTGAAATACGAAGTTCAAAGTCTTTAAACGTGATGTCTGAAACCTATGGAAATCTACTCTGTTCAATATTGATGAGGCTGATTCCTGAAGATATGATTTTGGATTTTAACTGACAAAGAACGAAGGATTCTACTGTGAATGTTGAAGAATTGTTAAAATTTATTGGAAACGAAATTGATAGCTGTGAACAATCAGCTCTACTCTCAAAAAATTCAAGAAAAGAAAATCTTAACGAAAATTTTAAATTCACTCCAGAATCGAAAGTAGAAGAAAAATCTTGGAATAAAAGGAAACCAAAGGTAAGCGCCTTTGCTTTATCAACATTGAATTTGATTTTTTTTTTTTTTTGTTCTAAGAATCACGATAAATTTAAATTCAATGAAGTTAATGTTTATAAGAAAAGACAAATTTTAATGAAAAGTGGTAGATGCTTCAGTTGCTTTCAAAAAGGACATTTATCTATATCTTCGGATTGCATGAAAAGAAATCTTGCTTGTTTTCACTGTAAACAAAAGCATCATTATTCTGTTTGTATGAAACAGCCTGAAAACGAAGGTCCCGTTTCGAATAATGATAAAGAAATGCTCGTAAATTAAAATAATGGATCTCATGTTGTGCAAAACTCTGCGACACAGAATTCGAATGTAATTTTACAAACTGTTACCCACTGTTGCTGTGAACAAGGCTGAATGTTTAGTTGATGTTTGCTTAACGGAGGTAGTCAAACGTCTTTTATAAATGAAAAGTTATCGAAAAAGTTAAATTAGCCTGTTACAGGAGAATTTGATCTTAATATTCATACTTTTGGATCTAGTAAGAGTGTAAATAGTCGTAGAAAGAAACTGAAATTGAAATTTGTTGATCAAATTAATCCTGATAAGTTTGTTATTGTTGAAGCTATTGAATATCCCGTGATTACTGCTGCTGAAATTAAAATGTCTGGAGATTACTTAACTAAAACTTCGCATTCTTTGGAAATTGAACTTTCAGATGATGTGCCAACTGATCAGCAAATGTATAACGCAAATGAAATTTCACTGCTATTAGGAAATGATGTTTACTGGAAAATTGTTACTGGAAAAAACGAACGAATAAATGAAGCATTAGTTGCTGTAGAGACTAGATTAGAATGGTGTATTCAAGGTTCCGTTAGGAGTTCTGATTTACGATCAATGACTGTTCGTTCAAATTTATGTTTAGATGAAGAGCTATCTAATAATATTAAATCTTTCTGGGAAATAGAATCGTTAGGAATAGCACCTATCTTGGGTGAAAAAGAAGATATAAAAGCACTTTCTTTATTTAAACAATCTATTCGCATAAGAGATGGTCGTTATGAAGTAAACCTTCCATGGGAGAATGTTATAGTTGATTTACATGATAATTTTCATAATGCTGAAAAATGAATAAAAAAATTGATCAAGAGATTTACGTCCAATCCTTATTTTTTGGAACAGTATAAAAACGTAATAAATGAACAACTGAAGGAAGAAACAATAGAAAAAACAGAAAAGAATGATTTTAACTCAAAGAAAACTTATTGCGTTCTTCATCGGGCAGTAATTAGAGAAGATCATTCCACAACAAAACTGCGTGTAGTCTATGATGCTTCATCTCGAGAAAAAGGTCACCATTCTTTGAATGATTGTTTATTGCAAGGACCTTACTTATTTCCTGATTTACTGATAGTTTTATTGAATTTTCGTAAAGGTGAAATTGCTGACATTCAAAAGGCTTTTTTACAAATTTCAATTGCACCAGAAGATCATGATGCCTTAAGATTCTTATGGATTTCAGAAGACGCTAAGTTTCCCAATACAAAATTTGAAATTTACAGCATGAGTCGTGTGATGTTTGGAGCAACATCAAGCCCCTTTTTACTAGCAGCAACTATACGTCATCACTTGAAGAAATTTCAAAACATTTATCCCATGACAACTAACCTGTTAAATTCTTGCATGTATGTTGATGATCTTGTGTATTCAACGAATTCTGTAGAGGAAGCATCGTAAGAACAGGAAGAAGCAACCCTAATATTTAAGCAGGCCTCCATGAACATCGTGAAGTGTAAATCCAACTCAAGAATTTCGAACAACAAAATATATGGCTCAGAAGTTCAAGCCGATGGAACCGAAGAAGTAAAAGTTCTTAAATTGAAGTGGGACTTGTCGAATGGCTGTTTTAATTTTAAAACTGGAGATATTTTTAATTTTATAATTTCTAATCCTCGTACAAAACGAACTTTATTGCAAGCTACTTCAAGAATTTTCGATCCTTTCGGATGGCTGTCCTCATTCATGATTCAAGTCAAAAACATGTTCCAAAAACTTTGGCTATTGAAAATTGATTGGAACGATACTCTACCTCCTGAAATCGATAAAAATTCGCAAGAATCGTACAAGCAACTTCATTTTTTGGAACAAATTGTGGTTCCAAGGTAGCTAAATAGGGTTTTGGATCCATCTAGTGGTGAATTACACTGCTTTTGTGATGCAAGCAAAAGTGCTTATGGAGTTACAGTTTATTTGATATCTGCCAGTTCAACATCTGGATCATCCCAGTTAGTGATAGCTAAAAGTCGCGTTTCTCCGTTAAAATAATTGTCTCTTCCTAAACTAGAATTAATGACATATACAGGGGGTGGCTTTAGTGATATACAGGGGATGTTCCACAATCTGTTTTTCAAAGTTTCATTTATTTATGTTTTTTAGTTTGATTATTTTCAAAATCAAGTACTCATTTATTTCGGTATGATTAAAACAATAACAAAATGTGCTTAGATGAAACTAGAATAATTATTAATAAAATGATCTTTGCTTATTGAAAAATGTCCACTTAAAGAAATGAGTCGCTAACACAGGAATTGTTGAGTAGGACGCTCAAGGGGGAGGATCCTCCTAGTTTTTAAACAAGGATTTATTTAAAATCATTCATAGCTTTTTTTAAAAAATTAAGACTTATTATCGTTATTGCGCTAGTCATTAAATCTAAAAGAATTAATTGCTTCACAGAGATAATTCAGTGAAAGACTTTTACAATCAGTGCCCTCTGATATTCCAATAACTCATTGTGAATATTAATTGAAATATTACTTTCGAACATCAATCAGTAGCGAATTATTTAAATAATGATCTTTTTGGAGAAATCGCTTATAGTCAGGAATGAAATTTTATTTTGACAGTACCATTAATGAAAATGAATTTCTTAAAAGTAAAAAGAAATATTCCCAAGGGGCGAAATTGCTGATATTTTTAAAATATTTATTTATTTTCCCAAAATTCGATGGTCGAAATTTAATTAACTTTTATTCGAGTTCGATGCTTTTTTTCGTTATTAATCTATGCACTGTAAAACACCCACGTAAGTAAATATTTAATACACGTGTTGAACTCTGATATTAACATGATTTGAGTGGAAGTTGTTTTACTCAATAATAAAAATGAGCAAAAAATAGAAATAGATACTTCTATTTTTGCCTCTCTGAGAGGCTCAGAACACTAACTCTTCTGATGTTTTTGGTATTTTGTTTCCTTCATTAAATAGAAACAATATCTAAATACCTGGGTCGAGGCTCCAACCTCTTTACATTTCGTTTAAAAAAAAGCCTATGATTGTTTGGCAATTATTTTCGCTTATTTATGATACAATAAAATTTAGAAATCATACAAATTTAGAAATTTTTTTATTCTATTATCACAAATTTGGCTCTTCAAACTCAGTATTCGATTCAATTGACAAAAAATTTAAACCATATAAGCGTTATTTTATAACCGTCGTTGAACAGCGGAAACAAATTTTTCAGTTTACGACTACCAATGTACAACCTTTTAATTTTGAACCCAATCCAGAAGACAAGGGAACTTCTGGATCAAGTATTGGGGAAAAAAATTGCCTTCGTTTAGGACTTTTTGAACTTACACGCCTTTGCGTTACTTTGCGCGAAAAACCAAAAAAAACCTCCCACGGTCAATGTGATGGCAAGGTAACTCCAACCCGTGATCCGTAAACCACTGGTGATATTTTTCATCAGTGTTGTGGTCCGTGCGAGACGGGTGTGAAATTCGTATCGACCAGCCACAACTGGGATTTGAACCCTGGTCATCTTATTGGGTGGCGAACCCTCTATCGTTTGAGCCACCACGGCTGGTATTAAGTTTCATTGATTATCCCTGCTCCCTCATTCGCAAACATTAATTAATTAATTTGTTTTTTGAATAATTTGCTTTTAATTTGCTAGAAAAACTCGCTTAACATATTTCTCCAAAAAATCTATAAACATTAGTGCTTAAAATTACTCTGCATATATATATAAAGATTTTTCTTGTGCTGCAACAAAAATCATCGCATGAATTTCGCCATCTTAGTTAGCACCTATGGAAACCAAATTTACAGCTTGTGTTCTGCTTTAATGGCTGTTTTTCGGTAGTTGAATGGAATAAGAGTTCCTGCAGTCTCATCAATCACTACTGTTATAGATTATAAATAATAATTATTATGTAATCAATTACTTGTAATTTTATAATAAGAATCAAGTAATGAGGTCCAAAAAAATTTCATTTCGTATCAAAACAAAATTTAAAAAAAAAAAAAAAAAAAAAAAAAAAAAATTCGTTATTTTACCCTAATCGTCCGCGCACACAAATGTGACGCCATATGAAACGAAAATACGTGAAAAAAGACATTATTTTATGAGGGATGATCCCGTTCAAAGTCTATGGCATTTTTAATAAATCTTGTTTTAAAGTAGAAAATAAAATTGGTGAAAACCCCAAAGCTTTCTTTAAAAAAGTAAAAATATATATATAATTAGAAAATTGCTATACTCTCTCGCTAGTTAAAAGAAAACCATTATTATTATGAAGAGAGCCTGTTTGCATGTAAGTTCACGCCAAATGGAGGCTAAGATCACAGCACGAACGTATATCAGCATCGCCAATTCTTGACACGACGTTGTACAGCCTTCTTTTTGCTTGCTTTCTTAAATCGCAAGAAATGGGGTAAATAAAACTTATTGAATAAAAACTATTTTGCTAATAAGAATTAATAAAAATGATATCTAAATATCGTAACAAATATACTTGTTTCTGTGTGTTCGCATTTAAAGAAACTGATGAAAGAATAATAAATATTGTTTCTTACAGACGATTTTCATCTTCAGCAAAACTAAAGTTTAAAAAAATTCTGTATCTTGCTATTGGTTTGTTAAGGGCATGCCAGCATAAGACACGCCATTTTTAGTGGTACAGTCAAATTCAGTGCTTGTGCAACGTCGTATAGCTGTTTCTTTTTTAAAAACAAATGTTGTCCTTACTTATCGCCAGTCTAGGATTTCAGTACGACTACGAAACTATAACCCTTTTATAATAATTCCATGATATATATAGTAAAAGATAGCAAATTAAATTTCTGTCTGGCGAGGTTAACTTTAAAAAACTTCTATGTTCTTTCGAAAGCCTATTTATATAATCTTATTTCTAAATAAAACGGAACTATATGAAATCACGGATTATTACTCAAATCCTGTAACGCGATGGTATTTTCTTAAGTTGCAACAGAGTATAGAAACTTTTTAGATGCTCAAAATAATCAAATCATACTTTTTCCATTCGTTATTAAATACGATTCACTACAAAATTATTAAAAAAGTAATACTAACATTTTTCTGAGAATGAGCAGTATAAGAGTGCTACTTAAAATTTTCCTATCTTGCACAATTTTAAGCATTTTTTTCTCAACTTTTGAAATGATGACTTTGTTATTAATAAAAAATTTCTCCAAAAATTTCATTTAACTTTTCTAAATATTTTAAAATTGATAGCAACACCAGAAAACGCAACATAAAAAAAGAATTAGTTTCTGATATAACTGTCCATATCTTCATAAGTATTTAAGCTAAGCTAACGAAATTCTATGATGTTTCGTATATTTTTCATACATATCAATGAAGTTTAAGGCTTTTAGAAGTTTGAGGGACCGTTAATAAATTACAAACGGAAAATAGCGTTTTTGAAGACCATATGGAAAAATTACAGGAAATTTTACTTTATGGAAAAATTAGACCATATGGAAAAATTACTTTCGACAGTTAATTTGGTTATTATATGCAATAAGTAGTTATGTATGCAATAAGTTTCAATAAATTTTCACCCCGGATGCCCCCGCTAGGGGGCGGGACGGGGATGAGCTTTGAATATGCAATAAGTAGATAAAATTTCGTAAACCTAGCTCAAATACTTATGGATATATGAATATTTTTATTTTAAAAAAAAATTCTTGGTTTTACGCTTTTTTGTTGTAACTTTAAAAACATTCAATAAAACTGAACAAAATTTTTGAAACCGAACAATAAATTAAATTAAAACTAGGAGGCTCCGCCCCGTGCTCGCTAACGCTCGCCAACCTCCGA